TTATCATTCATACTTCTATCTTCCTAATGGCTTAAACAGCACAAATTACGATGAGTACACATTAACAAAATTTTAAAAATGGACCCTGGTATCCTAGCAGCCTCAAACAGCTCTTAACCTACCATCTACCTAAGACCACATCTGGCTATTCTGAGAGCCTGACAAGCTTTCACTTCTTCACTTTGCACACTCTGTAATAGCTGTTTATTAATCACACCCTAATTTAAATTGTTCTATTCAGTTGAAGCATTTGAAGTTAATTAAAGTTTGCCTTTAGGTGTATGAATTCAACAAGACTATACCGTGCTGTGACAGAAATATGAACAGTACTGCACCCAGGACTATGGCTTTAGGCTTTTCTCCTGGTTTAGTTTCCTCAAGAAAGAAGTCAGGCTGAATGTTACATTTCACCTTTCATCCCGGATGGGGGAAGGAATTTGAAAACCAAACCCTGTAAACGGAGCAGTGAAGCTGGAAAGTCTCTTAACCTTGTTAAATGAGTTCTTACCTAGCAATGACTCATTCTGACCCAGAAAGAGTTCACATTCAAACTCCTAAACACTTTGTGCTTTGACCCTAATAAAAGAAGAGCAGAAAGAGACCTCATATGACAATTTGGGACTATAAACAATAACATATGTATATATATTTCACAGCAAGGTGAGTTTGCCTCCTATGAAGGGATTTCTTCGAAAGGAGTAAAGGAGATCAAAAGAGCTCCTTGGTATGGAAGAGTAGTTTTCCCACATCAGAAACTCATTATGGAGCTGGAGATGCATTTGTTATTGTTCTTCTCTCTCTTTCCTATCAATCCTGGCTTTAGAACTACTTCGCATAAGACATGTAGCATAATGTCAGCACCAAAGCAAAATCATGGCAGCACCGTGGATCAAGTTTGTTTACTTACAGAAAAGAATATAAAAGTGATCAATAAAAAAGCATTAAAACAGGAAACAAAAACCATTCAATGGGTCTTGTAAAATGGGCCAGCTAAACCTGGAGGATGATACAAGCAATTTGTCATATCCTTGCCAGTTCCTCTGACTGTAAAGTAGACAAATGTGAACAGCATAAATGCTAAACTTTACCCACATGTGCTTCACTGACTCATTTAGTAAAGGATATTAAGTGAACTAAACACAAACATTCATTCATGAAAGCAGCTTCTGAAAGCCAAAAGAAAACCAGCAGATGTGACTCTCCTACTTCCAGGAATATTGAGTAGGAAAGCATCCCATACACAGGAGTAAGTACTCAAACCCAGTCTCATCTGGAACAGATTAGTTTTATAAAAAGTCTTTTTTTAGAATAAAAATAGTATTAAGTCGCCTCGTGTTGAACTACCACAAAATGGACAATTCAAAATTAAGGGCAACAGTTAACACATAATGTTTCAGAAGCTTTAGAACCACCAGAAAATTATCTGCTAGCATCAGCTAGATGAACCTTTGAAATAGGACTCTAAGAATATGAGCTACTGGTGGTGACGAGATGCAGATTCTTGTTTTATAAAAGCTTTATGTTAGGAAAATGAAGTAAAACTTCTACCAACATACTTGCTAAAAAACCCTAATTATTCTCCCATTTCTAGTGCTGAAAATCATGCAATTTTACTGGAATCTATCACTTTTGATAGCAGGAAAATACAAAGCTAGGAAGAATCAAGACTTTTGCTTGTGAATATCTTCACAATGCTACAATATCACCCATATTTTGTTCATCATGTCAAATTAAATATCTTTGTAATATGAACAAAGCACAGAGATGTACACGTTTCTGAAGCATCCTAATATTATTATTAGGTGCCTATTTTATTTTTAATCATTTGGAATAAATTTTGTTTATCCAAAGGCTCTTTGCTTATTCACTGACACAAAGGAGATTTGTTTGACTGAATGATACTGTATTTGGATTTGAATGTGTGGAAGAATTATGTAAATGATTGTATGCAGGCAAATTAGAGCTGAGTAGCTTTGTGGCAATCATCTTTACAACTGCAGCTGTTGCAAAAGCAATGAAAATTAAACAGCATGTTTTATATATTGCCACATTGTGAGTAGAATCCATAATAAATGCCAGAAAGTAAGTGTGGAAAGCTGACACTTTCTCAGTGTCTGCATACTTATGCAGGTAACTTAGAAAATGTTTTCTGTGACACTTAACAGACACTACATATATCACGATGCAGTAGATATAATGTAAGTTAATGCATATGCAAGCATTTATTAATGATCCTCAGAAATGGCATCTCAATATAGCAGAGCTTGAAAAACAGTTTTGCAAGGAGCTAAGAAATTTTAAAAATGTGGCTTTCTACTGAACCAGAATAAGAGCCAAAAATTACAATTTTACCTTGTAGGTAAATTAATTTTAATATAATTTCGCATCCCTCAAGTACTGCATTTTCTCAAAAATTAGTGTCCTCTGATTTTTTTTTTTAACACTTACAAAATGAGAGTTTGTCATACGTGATTAGCCAATATTCCACAGGATTACCTTGGCATATGCAGGAACATCTCTTGAATCTCCAGAGTAATATTGAAGGTGTTGGGCTCTCTTCCTTCAAAGCTCTGTCCCTGATGTCCCAATCCAGCAAGAATTGTGCACAAAAACTCCTTCACTACTTTTTTTTTTTTTAAATCTTCAAAGCACATTGAAATCCATTTCTTCTCCACAGAAAAACCTATGTTGAAAAAATATTTTAAGATAACATACAGATAATAATAGTAATGGAATTTGGCCTCTACAGCATCATCTACAAAAAGAATCCTCTGTTTTCTTAGGACCACACAAAACAAAACAACTATAGCATCACTGTTTTTTCCTTGAACGCTACTAACATTTCCTGACCAGTGTTTCCGCTCAAGACTTCCATATGCCTCTATTTATTTACTGATTGGAATTTTTACATGGTAAATTATGTTTTGGAAATTTTGCTTTGGAAAGTTGTAGGTTCGGTTTAGTTGTAAAAGGGCTTCTAAACAAGTGGTTTTACTTTGTCTGCTGTCAAGAAAGCTTAAAAGAAGTGGAATCTTACACACTGTACTGTAGAAGTAGTGACATACAGATAATTTAACTTCGGTTCAGTCCCTTTTCAAAACATGTTAATTACTTCAAAACACTGTAAGCAGAGTTCTTGGTGCCCTCTGAAAGCTGAGAAATGGGTTGAAATACCACCCAGTGACTCTGTCCTCAACAGATAGTAAATATCCCTTTGATGAAAGGGAGACAGCAGCAACTATGCAACCAAATCTATCTGGAGTCCTTCTAAGTAAGAACAATGCTTGTTCATGCTGCAGAAACGTTTGAGATGTCTCAAATTTAAATGGGAAAGAAAATGCTGAAGCTCACTTGTGCACATCAGAGATAATGACTGAACACATGATTCCAAAGGGCAGAGTGCACAAGCCTAAATCTTAAAAAGAAAAAAAAATTAATTTAATAAATATATATATAACCTTGTACTATATTAAAAATAACAGTCTTCCTAGGTATCTTCTCACTTACATGTTAAGTACACCAAGCTTGTGCTCATCAGCTATATGTAGTACAGCTACACCTCAATACAGCTTCTCTTTCAGATTTGCTCACTAATGGATCGGGGATGAAAAAGCACAACACCCTTCAAAATTGCTTCCGTAGAGGGTTATGTTGTCCCTTGACACCTTTTTATAATGTATTCGTCAAATTAAATTAAAGAAAAAAACAAAACAAAACGAAAATTTTAAACACATAATCTCACCAGTAGGATCTTTCTTTAAAGTAAAATGCTCTACAACGCAATCAATCAAAGTTTTACTTACATGGAACTTTTTATGTATCACCATAGGCCTGACAGATACCAGGGCTTGTAAAAGAATACTGTCACAACAGCTTGATAACAAGGCTAAGTACAGGCTGCACTCCTTCAAAAAGCAGTGGTCCTACCATATGATACCCTACCCTATTTTCTACTTCATGAACAAATTTGTATCTTAACCTGTTTGTGGTAAGAGTTTTGGAATTTATCAATAAACCTGTTGTCAATCACTAAGCAATGTTTTAAGGGATATGATTTTTCTACAGTGAATTATAAAGGTATTTGAACTGCATTAATACACATAACTAATGAATTTGTAATGTTATCTCCCAAAGAACTTTTTGATTTTGAAATTATGTCAAGGATCAGAACACACAGCATTTATTCAGTGAAGGAAGAAAGCTGGAAGAATCAAAGAATCATGAAATCACAGAATACTTTGCCTTGGAAGGGACCTTAAAGCTCATTTAGTTTCAACCCCCTCACCATGGACACCTTCCACTAGACCAGGTTGCTCAAAGCCCATTTAACCTTGCCTTAAACACTTCCAGGGATTGAACATCCACAGCTTCTCTGGGCAACCTGTTCTGTTGCCTCACTACCCTCATGGAAAAGAATTTCTTCCTCATATCTGATCTAAATCTACCCTCTGTCAGTTTGAAGCCACTGTGTCTACTTAGGATAGGGATGAACAGTACAGAATCACAGAATATGCTGAGTTGGAAGGGACCCACAAGGATCACTGAGTCCGTCTCCTGGCCCTGCACAGGACCATCCCCAAGAGTTACACCGTGTGCCTGAGAGTATCATCCAAATGCTTCTTGAACTCTGCCAGGGTTGGTGCTGTGACCACTTCCCTGAGGAGCCTGTTCCAGTGCCCAACCATGCTCTGGGTGAAGAACCTTTTTCTAATATCCACCTAAACCTCCCCTGACACAACTTCAGGCCTTGTGCTCCTGATTCTTTAACCAATCATCCCAAGGCCTTGCAATCTCTCTTGATTACTCTTGAACTTTTTGTTTCAACTTCACGGCTGCCTACCTGAAAAATCACTGATGGATAATTAACTGAGGGGCACACCAGAGTAGGAAACTTTCTCTTCATATCTTTATTCTGGGTCCCATGGAGGCAGCAGACTTCCCTAAGAAATGGGTCCAGACTGCATACTGGGCCTTCTGTTCCCTTCAGAAGGGAGTCTCACCTGTCTTTTTTGCTGTATGGAAGCAGTTTTGATGCGGGGAGTAGGGCGACTTAACCTCAGTGCTACCGTCAAGCTAGATGAACCGTCTTCGTCATTATTTGGTTCCAGTTGCAGAGCCTCATACATGTTGTGCAAAGGCACCTGGAAGGTGGGGATGGAAGGCACAGGCATCTGGAATAGGTATGACTTGTGCACATTCAGGTTCCTTAGCTGGTCTCAAGCCTGATCTTCTTCTAAGGTATGCAGTACTTCTTTTTCCCAGTCCCTGCCTTTGGATTCTACGAATTGAGAAAAAAAGTTGTTGAGTATCTCAGTCTTGTACATATCAGTTTTAGACAGGTCTCCCATTTCTCACCAATCAGGGACGGTACAGTTTCTTTCTCTTCCTTTGTTGTCCCATCTACCTGAAGAAAACCTCCTTGTTATTTTTCATATCCCTAGCCAGGTTCAGCTCCAGATGTGCCTTGGCTTTCGTGATTGCCTCCCTGCACCCTGACTTCTTCTCATTCAACCTTTCATTTTATTTTCAACTACAGCTGTGTAATCTTTTTTTCTCCAGGAAATATCTTCTATGTATCATACAGTCTCAAAACCCACACACTTTTTGTTCCATTTTATAGCAATCAGCTGTCTCAGTAAAGACAGGCAGCAACTTTGCTTTTTTCCTGATTTATTTCCTATTCAACATATCCTTTGGGATACAAATCAGCAAAGCATCACAGACTTCAACAGCACAGTTCACAGTAGATAAGGATCTGGTGTACAGATGGGGCTTTTATTCCAACCTCTCCAGTAATCTCTTCCCTTAGAAGGAAAAGGAAAAGCTGTTGTACTTTAGACTGCCTGGCACTGGCAATGACCAGCTATTGTAAGAGTGACTCTACAGGTCACAATACTTCGAGGTACAAGAGAGATCTTTTGGGTTGTTTCCAGTGAAAGAAAGATTTAGTGAGAAAGTCCATTCCTTCTGAAGATGGTAACTAACAAAGATGTAAAACCTGAAAGAAAGATGAGCTCATAATGCCACTGTAATCAAGGCTAACGCTGGAACAGAGATCACGTAGTTAATATTTCTGTCAAATCTATCCCTGCTCCCATCAAAAGATGTTCTACACAGTGTGAACTGTATTACATCAACTAATGGGGCAGTTGTACTATTTTGTTTGTTTGTTTGTTTGTTTGTTTGTTAGGTTTGGTTGGTTGGTTTGGTTTTGAGTTTGGTTTTTTTGTTGGTTTTTTTTTTTTTGGTTTTTTTGCACGCATGTGTGGTTTTTTTTAGAGATGATGTAGTTGGTTTAATTATATTTTATGGTGTCTTTTATTGAAAAACTGTTTTCAGGTATTAAATACTGTAATATTTTGCTAATCTCTCCTGTATTTGGAGGGTAGAGAGCCCACTAGTCAGTGTATGGGACTGAGACTGCTGAATGTTTGCCCTTCCTGATGGATCAAATTATATCTCTTTGCAGAATATCTGAAAAAGTTTCAGGATCACCATGATGCTATGGCACATTTGTGGGAAACCAAACAGGTGTTCAGGCTAGAGAGCCAGAGGCAGCTACCCAGCTAGAGGCCTCAACATTCACAAGATGACAGTACATGGGTAATGCTTTAATCCTCTACAGGTAAAAAACCCTAGGAAGGTGAGAATTCTTCATAAAAACACATCTAAAAACCTTCCTTTTAAAACTTCCTACAAACACCTCTGGCTCAGTTTTCAACCCTGCAGTGACATCTTATGGCTCCATGGTAGTTCCAGCAGTGAACACATGCCATCAAAGAACATAGACAAAACTGAGGAACACAAAACATCTACATGTAGAAAACTGGGTAGCTGTCATTGCTATGGGATGACCTAACCCCATTAGTTGGTAACACTGAGCTCATTTACCCTCCCAAACAAAACTAATACAAAATACCACCTGTTACAAGGTACTTAGGTCTCTTTGCACACAGGCTCGCATCCCACGTCAAGAATTAGGCAGGGCTTACTGAAGTTAAGGAGCAGGGCCAGAGGAGCAACATTAGCTGCTAGAAGAACAGACTCCCACCCATCCTAACACAGACAAACTGCCATGACAGCTGGTTGATGCCTTAGGTGGCCACCAGTTTCAAACAGAAAAAAAGACATTCTCTTAGTTTCAGAGGACTGAAGCCATCACATGAATATCACTACAGGGAGTTTTATATCTGCATTGCAGAAGCCAGGAAGAGGTGAATTAATACTATGTATTACTAAAGTTAATTTTTCTTACACAAAAACCCTGTTAAAATGCTCAGTCAGAACTGAGTCCTAGGACTCAACCAACTCCAGTCTAAAAAATGAATGCATCTGTAGACCTTTCCATAGTTTAATGTAAGATCAGTCTTTATTCCTTAATTAACTCAAAGCATGATATTGTTTTCTGGGTCAAAAGAAAACTACTATATAATTTATTTTCTTATGATGAATAGCAAAGCTTTTAGCTAGGTCTCTTGGGAACCAGGGGGGGGTTTTGCATAAATTGCTGGGAACATTAAGGTGCTTCATAGATAGAAGCAAACTGGGGATGTGGAGGGAAAGCAATAGGCAGGCTTGCCTTGTTGTAGCTGAGGTTAGCTTTTGAGCACAATACAGTTTTTGTGTGATTACTGGTGAAGGGAACAAACTCAGGCTTATGGCGAAAACTCCGCTGTCCTTATCTGTACTAGAATGCCACGCCTGCATCATAACCTTTTAACCCCAGCAACATAAGTCTTCACCATGTCTTTAGTCTTGATCTGAATGCATGTGCACTGTCTAGAAGAACATACATTGAGCTCTAAATAAGCTCTATTTCCATTTGATTAATTTTGTGCCTTACTAGAGATATAGAAAAATCTGAGTATTTCAAAACAGGAAATTCAAAAAGTAAAACCTCTAAAGCTTTAACACTGAAAAAGAGTAGTATAAACTTTAAGGCTATACATTCTGCATGATCTCTACATTCTTGGCTTTTGACATAGATCATTCCTGAAGTCAAACCTTGACGTGGCAATATTGGTATTTAGCAACAGTAATTGGGATTTCAACCAGAGAAGAACACATAAAGAAATTCCTCAAAGATACACCCACCTTCTACAGAAATATGTTTTCCTCCTCTGGCAATCACCAATTTTCATACAAAAGAAAGGAAATTAGAACATCTGGCAAAGTGAACCTTGCTATATTCCTAAGAATGGAGGGTTTATTGAGCTCTAATAGAAACTGGAGTACTTCCCACTCGACTGGTACATAAAGATGAGATGAGATCAAGTTAATAAAACATGCACAATTGCACACCCTTCCTACTTCATTGATTTCCCTTTATTGCTTCGTAACCCATATCACCCTCACCTAAATGTTGATTTTGCTTGATTTTTACTTCTGTTCTTGAGACATATTGTTTGGTTTTGAAGATTTTGATCTATTGAAGGGTTTCACATGAGAGGAAAAAAAAGCAGCAATGTTTGCATAGTTGCCTCCAATTAGAGGAGAACTTGACTGGACAACTCAGACCCTTCAAGCCCATGTGCTTTTTTCCTGCTCTTTTTTTCTCCCAGATGATCAAATCCCCATGTCTCCAGGGGAGTAAAGTAACAGTGATTTCAGAGACCAGCAATAACTCTGCAGATTCATCCAAGCACAAGGCAGGGTAAAAGGGCTAAACAAAAGGTATAGAAAGACTTTTTAGGAAGAAATTTTTTACAGAGAGAGAAATCGGGTATTGGAATGGGCTGCACAGGGAGGTGGTGGATTCACCATCCCTGGAGGTTTTTAAGAGACTGTATGTGGCACTTAGTGCCATGGTCTAGTAACCACAGCGGTGTTGGATCAAGGGTTGGGCTTGATGATCTCAGAGGTCTTTTCCAACCCAGTTGATTCTATGATTCAATGATTCTATGACTTCCAAGTATAAAATGACTATTCAGTCTAGTGGAAAAAAAAGATGACTGAGTAAAGATATGATGGATGTTTATAGAGCCATGAGCAGCTTGGAGACAATGGCTCTTCAACAAAAGGACAGGATATCAACTGAAGCTAGATGCTGGGAGACTCACAGCAGGTCAGATGGAGGCTCATGTATTGAGTGCTTAAGTTGTGAAATGCTTTGCAGCAGGGTGTTGTGAATGCTAAGACTTCAGATAAGCACAAATAGTCGATGAATTGGAAGTAAATATATCAGAGATATATTTAAAGATGCCACCTTTTAGCTCTAAGAGTCTCTGATCCTTGAGCATTACTACAGGTCTGCTGTGTTCTTTTGCTCTTCCTTACATATCTGCATTTGTTCATCAAAAACAGGATAGCAGCTTAGATGGACAGCGGCTCATATCAAATGTTGCCATTCAGAGGTTTATGGTTAGTTATCCAAATGCTAAAATTGCCATAAAATGAGAAGCAAGCTATCCAGCCCTGTGGATCAAGAATAGTCCTGTTATGGCATTTTATTTATCACCTCTGAAAAGCAAAAGATTATGCCTGTTAAGGAACGACAGTGTATTTTACCAAGTGGCACTCATACTTGCCTAAGGACAAGAGCTCTCCCAGCAGCACATCTCACACAGACTTCCTGGGAGGGTGGAAAAATGATTTGAAAAATTTTTGCTAAACCAAGGAGCTGAAAAATTTATCATCATACAGAACACAAGGATTCCTCTTAGAACTCAGGTTAAAGATCATTGAAGTTAAGCTCTAACAGTAGGGTCCACTTTAAAAAAACATATGCTCGAGCCGCTTGTAAAGCACAGCAGAAAGACAATTTCCTGCAAGAAACACTGGGGATTTTGCCATAAACAGTTATAACTTCCAGACTGCTCCAGTTCCAGCTTTAAAGTGCTTCTTTGTCTGTTTCTAGGCAGCAAAACAGGCAAAGAAATGTTCACCCACCAATACTTACGGAGGTCACAGTTCTGTTTTCTAGACCATGTTCAGTGCTAACTTCCTTGCCTGCAGTACTTTAAAAATAAAAAAAGCACAGGAGTTGTCTTAGTTCTGAGGGACATTTTTATATCATCTTTCTGTTCATTCAGTCATGTGAAGCAGACATAATTTCATTGAAAACTAAAGAAATATCTTATTGCCTTTTAACTTTAAAACATTCAACATATAAGTAAAAACGTAATAA